TATTTGTTTATTATAGTTTTAGAAATACTCACAGCAAGGAATTTAATAAATTGATGAATAACTGAAGCTCAGATATCAGAAGCCCTAGCAAGGGGGTGAGCAACACAGCACTCATACAGTGGATGCCTGGGCACCTATAATGCCACTAGGTGGCAGCCACTGATCTCCAGGGTGAAGGAAAAAAGAAAAAAAAAACACACTGGGAAGTTGCCTTCTAAGCTAAGCTTCATCAAATTCAGAGCACTTTCCAATAACAGAAGGTTTACTGGCAAAAGAATGCTCTCTGCAGAATTAATGCAGGCTTTCCACATTTCTAAATGTGAATTTTATGTTGGAGGAGTTAGTCAGCTCATATAAGAAATAGTTATAAATTGGGGCCACCCACAAATTGTTGGTATAAAGTGATACATTGTTCCAAAAAAGAAGAAAAAGATGTATATGCCACATCTCCAACTCTTCCATCTGTTAAGGCTGATCAAAATGAACATCGCCTCCTTTGCAAGCCTCACTGAAACTAATGCAATGTACGGGCTAGCTATCCTTTTAAATGGGGTCATGCTGTGGTCATGTTTCTGATTGCTGAAAACTGATGGTTTTCATTATTAAGCAAAAGTGTGAAGCCATAAAAATCTCTTGAATCTAGTTCTTTTACCTTTTGTGGGTCTCACTGGAATCTTCTATTTCTTCATATTCCATGTGAAATACACTGGAAAATGAATCCTAAATATGAGAACAGAGTTTGGGCTTAGTTAAAATGTATAGTAAAATTGTTTGTATTGTAAAAGAGCATAATTCATTTATTTTCTGCCTAGTGAAAAATGATTTCAAGAAACTATCAATGGTTTACTGTATTTCATAAAGCATTTTAAGACCCATGATAAACAAAACTGACATATTACAATGGTTATACCAATTTTTCTAATTTATACAATATATTAGGCTCAATTTAATTTACTACATAATGAGCTTCACCTTGTCTGTTGAACATGATGTTGATTCATACACTATCTTTTTTTAAATAGGCTATTTATCATCACTATCAATTTTAAAAAATGGTGCAATTCCAAAAATGTTTTTTCCATAGCTGCCATACAAGAGACAGCTCTTTTCCATGAATCAGAATAACAAACCTAGGAAATGACCGTAACTTCAATAGGGCTTCTCTGATTGACTTTGATTAAGCAGGATCATGTTAACATTAGCAGTCTCTAACAGCCAAGCCCAAGTCTGTTAGGTCAATGCAACACCTTAAATTGTGTCCCTAAACAATTTGCAATTACTGCTGGCCTTTCAGCATGGACATCATGTTTTTAATATAATAATGTTGTTGGCAGCCTAATTTCATATCAAGCTTCTGAATACTATCTAAGGGTATTCACCATGTAGTAGTCATGTTAGGATTTAACTAAGGCTTAAATAACTGTTGACTAATCCATCTGTAATTGTGCAGATACACAATTACTGAGAATTTGCCAGTTGAGAAGACAGTCAAGGTCCATACTTACTGAACAGTCTTCATCCACTATGAAAATGGTGCACTTTTGCACTTGCATGAAGGAAATTATAGTAGCAGCTATCTTCTTCAAAATGACTTCTAATGATTGCTGCTCCTCAAATATTAAACTGGCAAGATCAAGAAGTACCTATAACAGAATTAAAACAGTTTTAATCGTCTGAAAGGCAGATCCCTCCCCCCCAGTAATTCCAGGGGTTCCTTTCAAAGAAAACCATATAATTGCATTAATGTAAAGAAATAATGAATTACTCCTTGCAATTTGAACAGAATGAACTTTACAAGATCTCTGCCCACATATTGACGACAGTTTTACACTTTCATTTTTTTCCAGAACTGTGTACATTTTGACTTTACAGAGCATCTACAGTCTCCTTCCTACAAAATCTATAAATCAATTTCTCCAGGAAGAGGCCCTTACATTCCTATAGACAATTTGTGTTCTACTACAGTATTATTTGGCACAAAAAAGGGATTATTCCAATAGGCTTTATTTAGTGTTACAAAAAGCTATTCGCTAGTTTATTAGATTGATAAATCTTCTTTCTCCCAGGAACTCAAGGCAGCCTATGTAAAAAAACAAACAAACTCAGTTTTACTCCCACAATAACAATCTTGTGCAATATGTTGGGCTGAAAGAATAAGCTTTAACTGGGCAAAACAGTTCATCATAGAGCAAAATATTTTGAACCTAGATACCTCAAATGAACTAAATTAAAAACTGCTTCAAAATCTGGGACCCATAACTCCCATAGAATTGAAATTTGGCAAATTTTATAAAATCATTTATGACATTGAAATTATCATAAATCATTTTATAATACCACATAAAATGGCATAAAGTATTTCCTATGGTCAATTCCTGATGTTTGACTGTGCTGTACAATTCTACACAGGCTATTTTCAAGGCAAATACCTCTCTAATCTCCCTCACTTTTTAAGACTATTTTACTATATCTGCTATTGTTAAAGGCATTGAGAAATTTGGTAAGGAAATATCTCTGAAAAAACAACCCAAGGAATCACAAATTTTCTAATTATCCATATAATGTTAGGATTCTGAACAACTATAAATATTTA